TGACATTATAAACTGACAACTAATAATTGTCACACCTTCAAATATCACTCGACATAAGGAGTAAGGCCATTAGACACATATTACGCATCACAGCCATAGCTTGTATGTGCATTAAAGTTTAATTTAGATGAACTAGCACTTGGCAGTGGGTTCACCTAAAACAAAGAAGCAAACAAGAAAACATTACCAAGTATACTCACAATAAGGAAATCTGCATCTCAACAGCTTATTTTTGGCTCGGGTTAGAATTAGATAGGCTTTTTAGACTCAAGGTTTGGTGTTAACACAGGAAAGACATTAGTTATACGTTAGCAACCTAGTTGGCTTGTGTTCTTACATGGTTCATCATAGGTGCTACTCTAATGACTACAGGGGCATATTCATTTCAAACCTGTCACAAGAGCAGGATATTCACAACCTGCTTTTAGGCATTACCTTTATCATTATCTAGTTGTACTTTACATTTTAGCTTGTATCCTATCGTTTCTCCAACTAATGTTTATCATGTGCCTATATTACAGGAACAATTTTAACTTGATAGCATTTACAATGATTCTCAAGGACCTAATCATGTGCCTATATCTCAACGATTCTCTTAGCTAAATTTTGAAAGTTTCTTTCTAATTATGGTGTTTTCTGAGAGATAAACATATATATATATATACATAGTAACATATATACATATATAATCTTCTAATCCCTTGATTTCTTTGCTATTGCCGCCATTGTTCAACAAAGTAATACATATATCATATATGAATTGAGGCTCTTGATTTTTTTTTTTAGAAGTAGTATACTGTACATTTTGCACAAATATAACAGTGGTTAATTGAGACGGGGCCCATTGGTTTCCAATTTACAGTTGAGGAGAAAGGATAAGGCCACGATTTTAAACATCAGTGATGTAAAGAAAAGAACTTCGGTTTCCAACCAATTTAACACATATCCACACATTCATCCCGTAAACAAAAGCAAACCAGAGCAACCAACACGTTTATGGCATATCACATATGCCAAAGTCACCTGAGTTTATGGATGCATATTCAAACCATAGAATATCACGCTGAGGAATAAATGCAAGGATTTATGTACTTACCGAGTTTGAGCCTACAGAGGAGCAACTTTGAGCAGCTTCGAGATTCCCAAAACGCGAGGAGGAATTACTGTGTTTACGGTACCGGCGACGACAATGCCAGGGGAAGGAGCTTTGACGCCGCCGCTGAAGAGAACTAGGTCGAGAGCTAGTCCTCCTACATCGACCTAGGAGGGATGCCCAAGGAGGTTGCCGAACAGAACGGTTCAGAGTGAATTTCCCCGTTTTGGCTGGGGATTGAAAACATGCAAAAGTAGTGTTGATTTTGGGGTTAGGGTTCACAATCTCGGATTTGGGGGAAACTTTTGCTACTTCTCGGTATGGGAATGGATAAAGCTTAAAGGAGGAGATGATGATTTTGGGGCTAGGGTTTCAGATTTGGGGGAAACAACTTTTGCAACAAAACTCATGAAATGGCATAGAAGAAATGGGAACGCCTAAAAGCTTGAAGGAGGAGACGGAGCTTCAAACAAGAGGCTCTTACACGATGGTAAAAAGGAGGAGACGAGGCAGGAATCAACGGTTTAGAGAAGAAAACTTTTACAGATGGGAATCACGTGAAATGGCAGAGAATGAATGGGATGGCTCGAATCTCGGTTCAGTGAAGGAAGAGGACAACCAATGGCTACAAGCAAGGCGTTGCTGCACGCGAGAGCTAAACACTGTGGATATTAATTCGAGTTTCACTCGAATTGAAGGGGGGAGGGTGAACTTGAGTTTGGGTAGCTGACTCGAATTAATGCTCAAGTTACAACATGGCCGAACATGAATTTAGGCTGAAAGCAGAACTCGAGTGGGCCTGAACTCGAGTTTTAGGGTCAAACGAACAGGCCTTATATGTTTCAATTTTTCAGTTAGGTATAGTTATAATTTGTTTTAAAATAGGTCACGACATATATATTTTAATTATTGAGTGTCAATGTGCAAAAATCATTAGAAAGTATTCAGCTTCTACTGTGTATTCTCAAAAGAAAGAAAAAAATCGAAACACGGATGGGCACAACAAAGGTGATTTAGCCGATGAACAAATATGACGCAGTTTGTATATGAGTGGTTCGATTTTGAGGAAAATAAAAATGCATAAATTGTGTTACGTTGAGAGACAATTATTAATGTTGGAAACATGTTCAAGTGGAAGTTTGTGGAGTACTTTGATGGGGTCAAAATTGAAGAATTGGATGTTCAAATTGGTCTTAAAATAGTTGTTCAAGCATATAGTGTCCCAAAAAATAAAGTCGAAGAAGAAATTGGAAAAATTGGAGCACGACTTGGAAAGGAGTTTCATCGGTTAAAGTAGACATATTTTGGGCCAGGATGGGTGGTTACCCATGGTCCATAAGCTGGCCTAGCCCTGGCCAACTTTATTTGGGCTAAGTTGGGCCTTATATTCCGCTAGATGGCCGAAAAAAATCAGTGCGATTTACATATATAAAGAGAGATTGAAATATAGAAAAATTTTTGAAATATGATGGGAATTGCCGAATTATATATCATTAAAATAATGATTAAAAATCATATAAAATATGACATCATGAAAGTTACAGTGTCATTATATCATATTTATAGTATTTTAAAATTTCTGTTGAATTTAAACTCAATATATAAAATTTTGCCATACAGTGTAATTATCTTCAAAATTGATGGCATATACTTAGGCCAGGTCCAGCGCTACTTGCATCTCGAAAAGCTAGCACTGCTTGCAGTAGGGTTGTGGACCCAAAGGTAACTAGGATTGCCTCTGAATAAGGTGGTGGCCTCAAGGTAAAGGTGAAAGTTTGGGTCGCCGGTCCGGCGACTCGAATAGAAATTTTGGGCTAGGCCAGCCCAAAACAGGAGAGGAGTGACCGAACATGGCCCTAAGCCTGAAAGGATTATGGTTGATCTGAAATTTTATAATGTATTTTCAAAAAAATCTTTAAAGAAAGGATGTTTTGGCCGGTTGGGTCAAATAAACATTTAGACTCGAGACCTTAGCTCGCTCTAAACTTATAGCTCTAATTCAAGGTAAGTAAAACTTGGAGTAAGGTGTGAAGAACAAGTCAAGCAACAAATACAAAACATCAACACAGGGTTTGCAAAACTTCAGGTGGAGTGACTTGGAGAGTTGGTCGTGGAGTATTAGAAACAAGTTCCTCATTGATAGTTTCACTGTGGATTTTGTAAAATGCAATTCAACATTTAGAGTGATAAAGTTACAGTCTAATTTCGTTGGTGTATTCTTGTTCAATATAAGCCACGTAAAATAACCATAGTTTTATTTATTGTTTCTTGTAATTTATATAGTAATTTGATTAAATTGTGTTTTTGACCAATCAGTTAAAAGGGATTCGTCTATTAGGTCTTACATGTACGAGGAAATTAAAGACTGAAGTGGGAAAAAAAAAAAAAAAAAAAAAAAAAAAAAAAAGTGGAAGGATCACTAAGAAAATTTTCTAGTGATTAAAATTATGTGCTGAGATTTTTTTTTTGTCGGTGTTCATAAGATGGAATAAAACACAATCTTCTTATAGCTCCAATTATCACATTACTTTTTCGAAACGTCTTTATCATATGCGACATTTTTAGCCTTCTAAATTCAACGCATATTTTTGTTAGCGACGAAATTAGACGTATTCCTGCATTCACGTTGTTGTGTGCTCCTTTAGAAAAGTAAATTGAAAGACCAGCATGTGAATAATCGGGTAAGAGGTCGCTATAGTCAGTGGTTGGATATGACATCATAATCCAATAAAATGTACAAAAAAGTTTAGGGAAAAAGTCAGATTCATTAGGTGTAACCTACGGAATGGTACACATAAATTACATAATATATTGTTGTTCAAAAAATTGATTGGCATGAGATTTGACATTAACAAGGCAAGATTCATGAAAAGGATGTCATGCCTCTAGTTTCTGAGGCTTCGCTTCGCGGATTCGAGTTTTTAATTCGAGCTGAGATGTGACATTTTTTAAGAATTTTTAACTGTAGCAGAAAAAGTTAGATGTGTATTTTTCTAAGAGCTTTTAACTGCATAAACCTAGAACTGAAAATTCGAATCGGTAAAATGAAGGAGGACTGATTAACTAAACCATATTTGAGTCAAATTCATCTTATGGCATATTTCTTAGCATAAAAAAGTAATAAAATTATTGAGATTAATTTTATAAATACTCTCTGAATTTATTCTATGTTTTAACATTCCCTTGATTTTTAAAAAGGGGTTCGAATTGGCATTTTAAAGTATGAAAAGTGATTCAAAAACCCCCTAAACAAACCCTATTTTATAAATATCTCCTTAAATGTTGATTTTATGTCAAATTACCTTTGATCTTCCAAAACATTAGGGGGAGAGGGGAGTTGACACAAAAGTAATAATTAAGGGGCAAGTAAACTTAAAATCAATAGTTTAAGTTTGGGGGCCATATATTTCAAGGGGTAAAATGAACTATTTTCAAACTTTAAGAGGCATATTGAAATAAAGTACAAAGTTTAAGGAGTATTAACGAAATTAGTCCAAATCATTATCGTCTAGTTCAAAAGAAGTACTTATTCAAGGAGTGCACAAAATCAACGAGGGACCACGCCATCTTAATTTGACTAGAATAATTTATAATAATTGCTAATATGTGTAAGGCATGCATCTATTTCTATTATTCAATATCATTACTAACCTACCCCATAATTGATTGCAACATTGAGGAGTCAATTGTCACTTTCTAAGGCCCCTTTACCGAGTCAAACCGTGTTTGCAAATTGGAATGGAAAATAAAATTTTTTTAAAAAAAGGTAATAAAGAGCAAAGCATTCTCATATGATCATTACGGTGGGCTTCTGACTAGGAAGCTTCGTGTTGTTTCACCATTGGATTGTTGTCAGGTTTTGTGTCCATTGGCGACAAGAAGATCTAAAGGAAGGGGCTAAACAAGTTCCACACGGGTGTTAATTTGTCTGCAGGTGGTCCTGTCAGTCCAATAGAATCATCATTTTTCCCAAACAAATATTTTTGCTTTCTCTCAAGCCATGACATGAAAAACAACTTTTATAAATTACATAATATCTCTTATCTTCTCAGATCCTTGATCCTCCCTTCCAGTCCTCACCAAATAGACAAACACCAACCATGAATACGTGATATATTAAATCTAGGTTCGCCGTACGCGTGCATTATACATACATATATATATATATATATGTATATATATATATATATGTCCATATATCTTATCTAGCCATACCTACTATTACTATTGGGATAGTTTTTGTTGGTTGTGAATATGCAGAATTTCCTCAAGTGCTTTGGCAAAACAAATTCATCTTTCAGAAGCAAACGCCAACAAATATCGCAAACATCACAAGGCCTTGATGATGATCATGATCATCATAACAATAACAAGGTACTAGCAGAACCGGATGACTCTATCACTTGTTCATCAATTGTTGTAAGGAAATTCAGTTGGGAGGAGATTGAGAAGTTCACCAATAATTTTTGTAGCTCAAGAGTGATTGGATATGGTGGATTCAGCACAGTCTACTTGGCTGGAGATCTCATCCCATCCACTACTAGTACTGGTGGAAATCTTGCGGCTATTAAGATCATCAATGGCAGCCGTTTATTCAAACAGGAATTGGACATTCTGCGGCAGCTTCACCACCGCAACATCGTTGGCCTAATCGGGTATTGCGACGACCGAGGCGATCAAGGCGCTCTGGTATTGGACTACATCTCCAACGGCGGCTTGGAAGATAAGCTCCACGGCGGAGTTGGTGAGACTAGTACTACTACTACACTTCCTTGGAGAAACCGAATGGCAATAGCCTTACAAGTAGCTGAGGCCTTGGAATATCTGCACGAGAAGTGCGGCGGCTTGCCGATCGTCCACGGCGACATCAAGGCCTCCAACGTGCTGCTGGACCGCCACCTGAATTGCAGGCTCTGCGACTTCGGCTCTGCGAATGTCGGGTTTTCTTCTGCGGTGACGCCGGGGATGAGACCGAATCGGGCGGTGATGATGGGGTCTCCGGGTTACACGGACCCTCACTATCTGAGAACTGGAATACCATCAAAGAAGAATGATGTCTACAGCTTCGGAGTCCTCCTGCTTGAGCTTGTCACCGGAATGCAGGCCTTCTGCTCCGAGAGCAACCGGACGTTGGCGTCCCGAGTGGGGCCGACGTTAGGCGGAGACGACATGGTCGTAGCGGAACTTGTCGATCCACGGCTTGCCGGTGAATTTGAGGCGGAAGAAGCAAGGGCTTTGCTTTCCTTATCGGCTGAGTGCCTTCGCCAGCCGCCCACTCTAAGACCTTCTGCTTCTCAAATCTTGCAAGCGTTAAACGACAACGTTTCTTTCATTCCCCCAAGTATTCAACACACATATCATGGCTCCAAAAATCTGCTTACACTCCAAAAGTAAAATTAGTTGAAAAAATATACACACATCCGCTAATGCAATACCTTGTATACGATTGTCAATTATTCATAATTACATGTATCCATATAGAGAAAGTAAATAGTCGCCCTCAAGAGTTTCATTGTATTTGTTACGATGACTAGAAAATTACTCGTGTTTTTACCTTACCCCAAAAATTGAAAAAAAGAAAAGGGAAGAAAAAGGAAAAGAAAAACTTTTTTTTTCTTTTGTTTATAGTAATACATGTTATGTGTCCTGTACACTAAATATTAATGTAAATGGACTTTAGAAGATGCCTTTATTTCTTTTTCTTTTTTTTTGGTAAATTTTATAAAATCTCCATAAAAATTAAGGCCACTTGTAACTTATTCTCAAATTTAGAAAATTCAACACTATTTCCCTTTAATATCTTATTTTATCAATATTTTATTTCATAATTATAGATTTAGAGTTTAATCAGGTTTTAATCTCCTTATTAGGGACCGTATCAACAATCTTACCGATTTAAATAACAGACTGAACATCTATCGTTCTCGTGACATTACTGAAGTTTACTCTCGATAATACTAGCTATGGATGCACGCATTTGCGCGCATTCGTGTAGAGGTAATTTTATATCTTAAAAAAAGTTAAGAATTTGTATACAACAGAAATATATTATTTATGTATATTGATACATAAATATATACATAGGACATTATTATATAAAGTTATTTATAATAAATTAATATATATATATAATATTATTTTATGAAGTTATTTACAATATATATATATAACTCTTTTTTTTTTTTTTTGTTGTAGTTCCTCTGTCTTTTGTTAGCTGCACAATATAAAATTTAAAAAATATTAGTATTAATAATTGGAAAAATTAAAAATAGTAGGATTTAGAAGTAGTTACATTACCTAGTTCGTGGACGTTTTCTTGGCTGTTCCCTTTCTTTGGACTTAGAACTGTAATAATAAAACGTTAATAAAGTACGAATTTAAAATTACAAATATTATTTTTATTTATAAATAATGTAAAATAGTAATTATATATTACCTGGTGGCTGATTTTTTTGGATCTGGTGTATGCGGATCTATTGATGTTGTTATTCTTGAGCGGGGGCTAAGCCTGTAGAATATTGTTTAAATATGTATTTAAGGTAAGGAATATGTCTTATTATATATAATTAATAAAGATGAGTAAATATATTTTACCTTGTAGTTGATGTTGCAGGGCTTGATATTTGTGGTGGTGCTGTTATCAATTCAGTTTCTTCAATATTTTTGAGACAATTGTAGTAATTTGCGTTCCTCTTCTTTGAAATTATATTTGGAAGATTTTTGTTTCACCTCTTAGTTGGTCGATGATTGGTGGGATTGTGAATGGGTTGGTGAATCCTTCGTCAATTGTTAATGCTGAGCATGGTTTTTTTTATCAAGGCTTGTGCTGCTCTGCCAAATATGGTGATCGCCATGTTTCCAGTATGGTCCTCAATACATGCGCTTAGTCTATACCTGTAATTTGTAAGATAATAGATAATTTAGGTTATAAAGTATTTATTTTTGCTAATCAAAGTAAATAAATTTTAATTATAATATATTTATAGTTTTGATTACCATGGTGATGGTGTTGTCTTTATGTGTCCATGGCTATCGCACCACCAATTAGTTCCCGCTTGTTTTAGCTGTCGATAGAATCTAGGGTAGGAGTTGTAGTACCAACCTTGATTTATTGAGAATTTAGTTATAGTGGCCTTTACAGTGAATTTAGTGCCCTATATACGTGTAGAAAAGTTTTTAGCTAAATTAGTGTAGTTAAATGAGAAGAAATATATGAGATATTATGATACTAACCTGGTTATTTTCTTGATCCAATGTCTTTAGTTCATCAATTGTTCTCCTATTTAGTATTTTTTTGCTCTTCAATAGATTGCGTTGGTACCGTTGATGCTGTTGGGAAGTCAATTTCTTGAGGTTACTGAGAGAATCTATATATATATATAATTAATTATTATCATGAAAAAATTTACATAAAGTTTATTGTTTTTAAAGTTTGGGGATTTGTTTCTTACCTTGTTTTTAACGTTTGTGTTTCTGGTATGTCTGGATCAAGATAGAAGATTGTTGCTGTAATACTTGATACATATGCATTGCCTTAAACATAAGCAATAAATTGGTTAATATTTTGGTGTATTAAATGTAAATATTTTATTCTATATGTTATTATTTTTATAGGTTGTTAAAAAAATACCTAGATATTATTTCACCAACATTGCTGCAAAAACTGCAACGACTGGTCCTTTCATTGATTTAATGACATTTTTGTCAAATTGATCGGCTTTATGTCCCCATAATGTGACTTAAAGCTGTTCGTTTCTGTGAGAAAAAAAAGTGTGGAATAACTTATCGGTGCGAAAATAACACCTATTTTCTACTCGCAAGTGCACGAGGTCGACAAGTAATAAAGTAGTGAGTGAGTGTCATGTCCCACGAGGATTGTGTTCCTAAAGTCTAGCTAAGTATCACAACTAGAATAACCCAGTTTTATCTAGACAAGTCCAATCATGAGAATGAGATCAATCAAAACAAAAATAAAATGCTAAACTAATTAGACGAGCAAATTAAACAATGGAAGAAACTTTTGGGATCGAAGGGGGCTCTAATGATAAGGTAGCTAGGGTCCTTGATTTCACCTTGCCTAATTATTCTAATCCTTTTTAATGCTATTGA